GTTGAATTTCCATGATTTTGATGATGGAATTTATTTTCCCACAAATTGAAATTTCATGGGAATTTACACTTCCCTACTGAACCAAACGACCCCTTATTTTCAATAAAATTTGGATATATTTATAAGATAAAATTGTCGATTTAGAGTTTTATTTTCAATAAAATACCAATATGTCACAAGTACAAAATAAATTATAAGTTTAGCTAGACAACGAGATAATAACACTTGCTGTTTTAACTTTTCACCAAATGTGTGCCACGTAAACAACAATTAAATAATTTATCATATAAATTTATCTTTATATCATAATTCTTTTTGGATCGAAGGAAATATATAATTCAAGACGTACAACATTCATTATAATATATTCTAATATAAAAAAAAGATATTCTTAAAATTCAACAAACAATCCGGCATCGTATGGAGCACAAAACCTAGTATATAATAATATGTTTCTGCTCTTGTCGAAAAAATAATTGTTTCTGTCAATTTTTTTAAAAAAACAGATTCTGTCAACTTATTTATTCTCATGGCCTGTAAACAAAAAAACTTATTAATTATCATACCACAAGTTATTTGTTGAAAAATAATTAATGTATATAAATAACTTATATTCGATTCCCATTATTTTTTCACAAATTCTTCAAGAAGTTGGTTGTACGTTAACTTTTTGTAAGGTGGTTAAAGTTGATTCACATTAACTATTTACACTTACCATTTATAATACAAAATTTATTATTTTTCTTATAATAAATTTTATGTTACAAAAAACTTTTAATATATGAGTATTAGATTAATCACATTAGTCCTTATAATATGTAATCATGAATCTACAAGAAATAACACATTAAAATAAAATTTAAACCAACGAGAAATTAAATGTTACCCTTTAAGTGGTTAAAGTTACCATAAAAATAGTTAAATTTATCCTCAAATTGATCGTCTTACAATAAAATTAACTAGTTTTTGGGTCCGGACAATGCCTCGGATTATTACATGAAACTGATCAATAATATATGTTGTAACTTATGATTCAATTTTCTAGTAATGAAATTTGTTGTTTATATTGTCATTTGTTACATATTAATATTTTTTTATTCTAAAGATTATATAAAATCGCATAGCTTGGTGGTAAGACACTTAGTTCCAGAGTTACAGGTTGTAAGTTCAAATTTTGTGGCAAACTTTTTTTTTTTTTTTATTATTATAAGTGCATGACATGTAATGAAAACAAATGGAAGGGAAAGCCAAATGACGTTATAAGTAGTTGGGTGACGTGGCGGAGTGAGGTGATTTTACGTGACATGTGGATATTGTTGGAAATGCCTTTTAATATATTAGTATAGATGTACATGCTTTATACAAGACTTAATGTTTATTTTTTATTTTAAAAAAAATCCCATTCATGTTTAATTCAATTATTAGCTTGAATGGTAATTTTTTTTTTTCAAAGAGTCTTGCTCTAGAGAATAGGGTTCCTATCTCGCGGAGTTCTAGGGGGGTTTTCTCTTGCGTGTTCAAGCTTGGCTACCCTGATTCGAGGGTCTGTGTTGACGAAGGATGGCAAAGGACATTGTTGAGAAGTGGTCGAATTTGAAATCATTGTAGAAGAGGAGGACATTGCAGATTTGGGAACGATTAAGGGCAAAATGTCGAAAAAATCAATTATCTCATTAAGGGCAAAAAATTACCTTGCAACAAGAGACTGATTGTTGTTCTACTCCAACTCAAAATCGAAGACATGTAAAGAATGATAAACAATTTTAATGAAATTTTAGGAATTGTGAGATATTAGGGTAAGCCAAAAACGATCGATATATAAATATCAACAAAATTGTAAAGTAAATTGAAGATCAATTACCTGAAATTTATGAAAGTGACAAGCAAATCCCCCCAAATTCGTTAGAAACTAACCAAATTGAAGCGTTGATAATTAAGGGCAGTTGAGTGCGAGGACCAGAGAGTAGTTGATGAATAGGGCATGCATCAGTTTAATTAATTGGGGTTTTTTTAAATATTTTTTTTGAAATAATTGGGGGTATAATTTTAATACAACTCGCTATTTTTCCCCTAAATTTTAAAATTGCGGGCTCATATTAAATCACGTGTATGTCATGTGATTTTCTCGATGCTTTTCAGTGTCGAGAAAATCTTCGACTCGTCGAGAAAATACGGAACCCCAAATCATACACTGATGCCACAACCACGACATCGAGGCAAAAGCGTCCAAAATACACGTTTGTAGTAGTGTTTCTTTATAACTCCATGCGAAGACATCTCACGTTCCTATGTTTGGGTAAGAAGAGCACTGACGTAATATACGAGACGTGGATATTCAAGAGTTCTAAGATTTAAATCTTTTAGATCATCTACTGTTGCTTGCACTAGTAGAAAAATGTACATTTGCGTCGCCATATTTGCGTCACTCATTCTAAGAAGCGAAGCAAATGTTTATTTTTACCATCCTTTTAAGTTATTTGCGTCGCTTATTATTCAAGAAGCGACGCAAAACTCAAGTTCATTTCAGCTTTCTATCATTTGCGTCGCTCTTATTTATTAAAGCGACGCAATTATTAAACTTATTTGCGTCACTCATTTGTTAACAAGCGACGCAAATAAGTGATTGAGTAAATTGCATCGCTCTTTTACTAAATGAGCGACGCATATGAGCTGTGTACAACATTATAAACAAGGTTATTTGCGTCGCTTTTTTATAATAAAGTGACGCAAATAACTCTTTTGGCTTTAGGTTATTCTGCGTTTTTTTACCTTAGTTTTTCATCACGTACGCCTACATTCACTAAATAAAAAGAAAAAAAAGCAAGAGTTCTTCAATTCCAGTGAATTTCTACAACAAAACACCCACAAATTCGTCTCTGAAATCCAACAAATTCGGCCAAAAAACTGTGATTCCCCAGCAAATTTAACATCTAAAATCGCAGTCAAGTTGAAGACCCATAATCGGCAGCAAATCCGAGCAATTTAGAGCAAAAATTTAGACCAAAAACCCTAAGAAATTCAAACCCTTAAACCCAGAAAAATTGATTGTTTCCGACCAAAAATCCCCCATTTCGAGCAACAAATCAACTCAAAAGCATACGAATTCGAACCCTAGAAATCCCAAAAAATTCAATTTCGGTCTTTAAGTTCGATTGGGGGATTTCGAGGGGGGATTTCTAGGGTTTTTGGCAGCGACGCAAAATACCCTAAGAAATTCGTCCCATTTCAGTCATAAATAGAAATTGTTCGAATTTCAGTCAAGAAATTACAGCAACAATAGTTGATTTCAAGAAATTACAGCAACAATAATTGTTCGAATTACGTATTTTTCTAGGTTTAAGGGTTCGAAATCCCCCATTTCAGTCATAAATAGAAATTATTCGAATTTCAGTCAAGAAATTACAACAACAATAATTCGAGGGGGGATTTCGGCTTGACATTGTTGAATTTGTGAAGTCAATTTCACCTAAGGTAAGATTGCTTCTATTTATGTTCAATCTTTTTATGGTAGATAGAATGTAGCATTTAACTTGAACAATGACTTGGTTTAATTTCAGGTTTAGTGTTAGTTCATTAATTAGAAAATATATATGGCAAATTTTAGTTGAATATATAACTGGTTGCATCTTTGACCTGCTGATTTTTGAGTTGCTGGTTTGCAATATATTATTGATTTCAAATATATAACTGAAATCGAGTGCATGACTATGTGAGCGGTTTTGCAAAAATAGATAAGCCACGTGCTGTCGATCGTCATCCTGGCCATTAAATTCAGTAACATTGACCCTTGTTTTTCAACTGTCTTATCTTTAATTTGCTGTAAAAATGCTGCTAAATAAATTACAAAATACATGTAAAATCTATGACACAATATTGTTCATGGGATGTGCTCAAAATAAGCTTTTGCACCCTAGCGGCCTAGCATCAATGAAAACATATATGAAGCACATAAAGATAGATGCTATCTTGATCTAAATTTAAAAATAAATGTGTATGGTCTTTTACTTTTTTGTTGGAAGCTATATATAAATGAATGTAACAACATTACTTACATAGATGAGATTAGATCCTAAATCTTGATTACCATATACAAATTAATAGATGGAAGAGCTAAAATTTGAGGTGATGATTTTAGTTAAAAGGTTATATATATATATATATATATATATATATATATATATATATATATATATATGGAATTTTATTAATTGAACTTATGGATTGGATGTCACGATTTCACAAATTTCAACTCATAACAAACGTGGAAATTTTAACCTTTTAACTAAAATCATCACCTCAAATTTTAGCAATGTTGTTACATTCATTTATATATAGCTGTTATAAGGTTTTTTATTCATTGGACTTTGATGGCAATATAACTTTGATGGCAATAAAGACATGGATTAGTATAAGATCTAAATACATGCGGATGGCTTAACACTCGTTTCAGGTCTTCAAGTTTTACACCATGATTGGCTAATAAGCAATGCCGAATAACAACTTTTATTTCACATGGCAGATTAAGTTGAATCAACTATGTTGGTTTAATATATGTAATTTTTTATGGCAGATTCTTAATTATGCGGAAGTGAATTCCACAAGTTGCTCGAGGTTCTGGTTGTGGACAAACGATTAAGGCGGTAGTACGCATACGAGATTGTCTTCACTGGTGGAATATATATCTGAACCATTCTTTGCAATATTAACTTATTTGTTCTGGTTGGTATAATGATTGTGAATTGTATGAGATTTTTAATTGTGATATAATTGATTGGAATTGCAATAATACTTGCATCATTGGCTTAGATACCCGTTCAGGGCTTACTCATTAGGAGTAAGTCTTGAATAGTCCCCGGTTTGGGACTGTTCTTGAATGTTCTATCTCATTTAGGTGATAACTACTTGAATTGTTTTTGGGTCTAAGAAGATCATGGCTCGCTATTTCCCGATTGTTCTCTGGGTACATATGTTGATAGCCGATTATCTATATTGTGTGCTTGGAGAACTATAGGGAAATGCTGCCAGATTTTCTTTAGAACCAAACTTTACAAGTAGTTATTAGTGAGATATGACATTCAAGAATGGGTTAGGTTGGAGTGATAAGGACCTTATTGGATCATCCGGAGTTGCATTTACATGATATAAACTTTGAATGAAAATGTTTGATGCCTTATATTCTTGTTTATGGTTAAGGAGCTATATATGTTACAAAATATACACATTATCTTAAAATTAATTTTGTTATTCAGTGGCTGAAAATGGATCGAAGTTGGATGTATGGTAAACGAAATTGTACAAGTTTTTTACGAGGAATTGAAGAGTTTAGCACTGTTGCCTTAAAACACCAAATAGAGAATAAATCAAAGATTATTCTTTGTCCTTGTTGTGACTGTAATAATTCGAGGGGATATCGTGATATAGTTGATATTAAAGATCATCTAATTCGTCGTGGGTTTAAAGAAAACTACACAAGGTGGACATGGCATGGTGAGAGCATATATATTGATGCAAGTTCTAGTTATTGTCCAAGGGAAGATGAGAATCACTGTGATGATGATAATGAACACCAAGGTGAGGATATCGATACAGCTGATATTGGTGTTGATAGTGAGAGTGAAGTGGAGAAGGACAGGATAGATGAAATGATGCATGATGTTGAAGACCATTTCACAGAGTGTCCCCAGACATTTGATAGTATTTTGAGAGCTGCAGAAACCCCGTTATATCCTGGTTGTAAAAATTTCACTAAACTTGGTGCTATTATGAAGTTATTCAACATAAAGGCGAGCAATTGTTGGACCGACAAGGGTTTTACGCAGTTGTTAGAAGCCTTAGTATAAATGTTTTCCCGACGGGAATGAACTTCCAAACTCCACCTATGAGGCCAAGAAACTTATGTGCCCCTTGGGTATGGAGTATGAGAAGATACATGCTTGTCCCAATGACTGTGTGTTGTATCGAAATGAGTATGCTGATTTGCATGAGTGTCCAAGGTGTGGAGTTTCTCGTTACAAGATGAATGATACTAGTGAGTTGTGTAAGAAAGGGTCTCCGGCTAAGGTATTATGGTATCTTCCAATTATATCGAGATTTAGGAGACTCTTCTCGGATGAAAAAACTGCAAAATTATTGAGGTGGCATGCTGATGGGAGGAAGAAAGATGGGTTAATGAGGCATCTTGCTGATTCCCCGCAATGGAGAAACATTGATCGAAAGTTCAAGGACTTTGGTGAAGAAGATCGAAATCTTAGGCTTAGTCTTTGTACAGATGGAATGAACCCATTTGGGACACTAAGTACCTAATATAGCACTTGGCCGATTCTTCTAACTATCTACAATTTTCCTCCTTGGTTATGCATGAAGTCTAGATACATTATGTTGTCCCTTCTAATATCTGAGCCTAAACAACCTGGAAATGACATTGATGTGTATCTAGCACCTCTCATTGAAGATTTGAAATTGTTGTGGAATGAAGGTGTCCAAATGTTTGATGCATATAGTAAAACCAATTTCACTTTACGTGCCATGATTTTTTTGTACGATAAATGACTTCCCAGCTTATGGGAATTTGTCGGGGTACACTGTGAAGGGAACAAGTCCTTGCCCCATTTGTGAAGATGATTTGGAGGCATTGCGCCTAGACAATTGTGGCAAGCATGTATACATGGATAATCGAAGACATCTTCTAGAAGACCACCCTTTTCGATTCAATAAGGATGCTTTTAACGGAAAAGTGGAGTTGAGAGAAGCTCGTGGCCCTTTACGTGCAAGTGAGGTTTATCAGCGGGTCAAAGACATTGAGAATGAGTTTGGTAAGCCTTACAAAAGCAAATCAACTGGGGGTTACAAGAAGAAGTCTGAGCTATGGTCTCTTCCATATTGGAGACATTTGGAAGTTAGACATTGTCTAGATGTAATGCATATTGAGAAAAATGTTTGTAATGCCATTGTGGGAACTTTATTAAATATTCCAGGAAAGACAAAGGATGGAGTTAAATTAAGAAAAGACATGGCTGCTATGGGTCGTTCAGAGTTGGCACCCGAATCTCGAGGAAAACAATGGTATCTTCCCCCAGCTTGCTTTACCTTGTCTGAAAAAGGAAAAAACTAGCTTCTGTGAGTCATTGCATGGTTTCAAGGTCCCGGCTGGATTTTCTTCTAATTTTCGTAGACTTGTGTTAATGTCTGACTTGAAATTGGGTGGCATGAAATCTCATGATTGTCATGTCTTGATGCAACAATTATTACTAGTTGCCATTCGAGGAATTTTACCACCTCAAGTGAGGTATACGATTACAAGATTATGTGTCTTTTTTAACAATATTTGTAGCAAGGTCATAAATCCAAGTATTTTAGATGACTTGCAAGCAGATGTACTTGAGACAATGTGTTGATTTGAAATGTATTTTCCCCCATATTTTTTGACGTGATGCCTCATTTGGTTATTCATCTTGTACGTGAAATTAAACTTTGTGGACCAGTGTGTATGAGATACATGTATCCTTTTGAACGAGAAATGGGTGACTTAAAGGGAAAAGTCATGAATCCGGCCAAACCTGAAGCTAGTATTGTACAACGAACAGTTGCTGAGGAAGTGACAGCATGGGTTGCTCAATATCTTGCACGTTCACTAGAAAATTGGGTTGGCAAAGCCAGTCTTTCAACGAATACCCTCACCATTTAGGAGCCAAATCATATGGTGAAATGAATATTGTATGGCGTAGGAAAGGGTATATTCCCACGGCATCTTCAGCATCTAGTACTTCATCTTGTTCTTCGGTTGTGTCTAGTTTGCCGGATAGGACATATGTTTGGCTTCTAGCAAGATCAATAGAAGATGATAAGGGAAATCCTTATTTGCCGGATGAGAAAACAAGAGAGGTGAAAGAATCCATTTTAAGTATGTAATAAATCTTTATTTCAATTTTGAATATATTTTGTTAAGTTTATGTATTGCAACCAAAGTTTTCTAACTTGAAGTCTTTGTGTAGGATAATTGGAGAAAGCAACAAGCTGATGGAAAATTTGTTCCTAATAGGCATGATGATATCTTATCTCGTGCCCTTGGGAAAAAAGATCGTAATGGTCGGGCAATAGCATTTGGCAGTGGAATTGGCATTAAAGCTGTATGGGGATCCGGAGAGAGGCGTAGTGGCCGACGGGGTAGGGAATTCGGAGATGATGAGCTGGAAGAATTAGAGGCAAGAGTAGGCGGAGGGTACGAGAGGAGACTATGCAGGAGATGGATTCTAAAATGGATTCCATGGTTCAAGAGAAGTTTATGTTATTTTCTAAACAGATTGGTATTCAAATTCCAACTGAATTGATGGAAATGAATAACATAGGCCGGACGACTCAAAAAAAATCCTAGTAGTTGCCAATCAGTGGGTGATGATCCATTTGCAAACATACAGGTATCCAAAACTTTGTTATTTTATATTTTTTATCTTTTTTTTAATGGTTTATGACTGCGACATACTTTTAACTTTTTAACTCAGTTTTCTATTTTTTTTAATAATGATTTTTTTTCTATCTTTTTAAGGAATTGGTTCCTTGTCGGCTATCATTGTTGAAAAATGACTCTGAGAAAGTCATCGTCGCTGAAGGTACATATCATCCGGAGTTAATCCTTGATCATCATAGTAACCTCCTTCCGGATCACGTGAGGGTAAGTGTTGATGATTTTTTTGACGAGTTCAAAGAAGTCTCGGTTCCAGTTCCTTCTTCAGTCATCAAGAAACTTAAGCATGCTCACGGTACATTTACCCAATGGCCGAAAGACTTGGTTTCACTCATGCATGACAAGGTAAATTATTTTTGTAAAAATTTACATATAGTTTGCCATACAAAATATAGAAAATTGTTGAATAGATTTGCTTTACTATTGATTAGGAATTCATATCAAATGAGAACGATGATAACAATAAAGCGGCCAAAGAAAACATGTAAGACAAACTGAAAGTAGTTGAAAGTGGTCACGAAACAAAAGAGTCTAACACCAATCCAAAAAAAGTTTTTCTTATGGATTATGCTTTGGAAAACTTGTCTTAGAAGTGTGGGTCTTTGAATAGTTTGTTATCTTCATTACCCGAAGGTGAAACTATTAAGGTAAAGGTTGATGCTTGGACCTTTAGTTATGAAGATAGTAAGGACATCATTATCAAATGTGAAGATGTCAATCAACTTCTCACGGGAGCTTGGCTGAATATTTCAGTTTTGCAAGTTTTTATGATGTAAGATATTCAAATTTCACTCTTCCCATATATACTTATTTATTACCATTTATAATGTTATTACATGATATATATGTAGGGCCTTGAGTGACTTACTCGATACGGTGGATGTGGCTTCCATTGGATTCATGTGTCCGGAAATGATTTCAGAAACCTATTTGCATAGTGATGCAGATCGTATCCTACTATACATGACACATGTGATGGAAAAACAAAAATCTAAGTAGTTCATCTTATGCCCATACCATGAAAAGTATAAACTTTGAACTTGTATTTATTTGAACTTTGCAAATTGTTGATATTATTTTACTCTTTTACAAATGTGTGTCTAATTTATTATGTAGGAATCATTGGGTTCTTTTGGTCTTATGCATGGCTAAGCGTGAAATCATCATCTTTGATTCTTTGAGGCAGAAGCGAAATTTAGCAATTAAGTTTAAAATGACAAAGTAAGTCTAGTTTGTTATTAATGTCATGATTTTATGTGTGTAAGGGTAATATATATGTTATTTGTTTCAAATGTGTAGTGCTTTTCGAAGTTTCAAGGCATTAAGTGGACAATCTAGGGGAAGTAAATTGACATGGCATTTGGGACAGGTTACCTTAATTTCTTACCCTAACTTTTAGTTTCTTAATAATTTAAGTATAGCAATTTAATTCAAGTTATAAATATATTACATGTAGTGTCCTCAACAATTGGGTGGACGTGAGTGTGGCTACTACGTCATGTGTTATATGTACGATACTTGAACATCACCATAGCAGTGAGGATCTTATTCAGGTATGAGTTGTCAAATATTTCATTTTTGTTTGATAAATACAATTTGATGTTAGCTACAATCTTGAATTAAAACTTTCCTCTTGTATATTTGTTGTGTTGATAGGATTTTTCAAGAACTACACCGTACACCGAGGAGGAGATAAATGAGATTCGAGATATTTGGGCAGAGTATTTTATATGTAATGTTGAACTTTAGATTTACACTTAGCGCATGTTGGACTCTTGTTTTGGATTATAGGCTCGACATGAATGATTTTGGTTAATTGGTGTTGGGATGATGAGTATAATGTCTATGATATTGAGATGTAAATTATTGGACAGATTGTTAATATAATGCCGTCATTCCCAATTTTATGGGTAGGCCAAATTACAAAGGAGACTCTGCCGAAATTTACATTTGCATTATTCAATAATATTGCATTTTAATTTCAATTATATTAGCGTTAGCATATTACTTTATACCACTAGTAAGGAAAACAGGTACTACAAACATATACAAGGCAATTATTATAATAAAAAAAAAATTCACTTCATTTGCGTCACTCATTAAACAAACAAGTGACGCAAATAAAGCAATTTTGTATTGTCTAGTCAGTCATTTGCGTCACTCCTATATAAACAAGTGACGCAAATAACAAACCAGAAGTTTATCAGAAGAGTCATTTGTGTCGCTTCTTTATAAAGGAGTGACGCAAATAACAAAAAAGAAGTTCATCAGAAGAATCATTTGCGTCGCTCCTTTATAAACGAGTGACGCAAATAAGAGTCATTTGCGTCGCACCTAGGAGCCTTTATTATACATGGTTCCTTCCCAAGTTCCAGCCTCATAATAGCTTCGTTAGCAGCCCAATCAGCTTCAGCAAGATGGCCCCTCATTGTGTGCCGTATAGAATACCTAAAACTTGGTATCAAAACTTAGATAATCATAACTTATCTGAACTTAGTGAATTTAACTGAATTTATTAAAACTTACTTAATTTGTAATTTTTACTTGAATAGTCCTTATCATAATTTTTTTTAACTTATCTGAACTTAATTAAACTTATTTATATTAGACTTGAAATAAATGATAATAAGAACATAACTAGCCTTTAACTATGTTTGTTCTAAGCTATACTAATAGAGCGAAAAAAATTTAAAATCTTAAATTCTCCAAAAAAAAAAAAAAAAAAAAAAAGTGGTTGTTTTTTTAATTTATTGGTGACAGGTTTTAGTTTTCTTAAAAATATTTATAGTATCCCTTTATACTGCAAAAAAAACTTATTATATTTTCAACAATAGATTTTATCTTATAGTATATATGTATGCATGAATATATAAAAAATTGCTCATTAAAATATATTTAAAACCAATGACAAATTAAAAATAGTTAAATTTATCTTCAAGCTGATCATTTTACAATAAAATTAACCTACATTTGTCTTATACAAGACTTATTGTAGAAAATTCACTCGCATTTTTAATGTCACATTAGTACATTACACATATTACATAGAATATTTTTTATTTTTACTGAAAGCAACATAAACATGACTTATCAATTATCATTATAATAAAAACATAGTATATAATACATTGTGACCCTTAAACATAGAATTGCAACTAAAATGATGAGAGTGCAAGCCACTGTATGTCTCCATTGATAGCTTTGCTGCTCATTTAAACCTCCAGTTGAGATTATTAGCAGGTTGGGATTAGAAACTCTTTTTTGCTATTAGACAAAGTTGTTTTTCGTTATGCATAATGATGCCAGGGAGAACATTGCTGTCAATTTCTTCCTTGCTTAAACCATCAGGCAATTCCCAATTAAAAGAATATAACAAATTGGCTAGCACAAGCTCAAGGCTTACAGGACTAAAAGTGTAACCAGGACACACTCTTCTTCCACCCCCGAAAGGAATCATTGACATCACATCGTGCCCTTTTAACTCCACTGAACTCTCCATAAACCTCTCCGGCATAAATACTTCTGGGTCCTTCCAGTATTCTGGATCTCGTTGAATAGCCCATGCATTTATAATTACTATAGTTTTGGGTAAAATATCGTATCCTTGCATGTTGCATTTTTGGAGTGTTTCACGTGGAACAAGTATTGGCGCTAATGGATGTAGCCTAAACGTTTCCTTCACTACTGCTTTGAAATATTTAAGCTTTGAGAGATCGCCTTCCAATATATAACCTTTATTCTGTGCTACACTCCTTATCTCTTCTTGTACTTTTTTCATTGGAATGGGGTTCTTTATTAGTTCCGCAAGTGCCCAAATTACGGCAGCTGAAATAGTATTTGCACCCACAAAGAGATTCTGCAAATATATTGTTATATGAGTGCACAAACGTATATACATCATCATCTTACAAAATTATTATTTCCTATGTTTTAATTTAGATACATTACTTTCTAAATAAGTAAGTTTCAAATTAAATGCATCATTTTTCTTTTTAGTTAATAAATTCACTCTATTTCTCACCCGTCACATAGGTCGTCCCCCTTGTTTTTTCTCTCCATATCTCTCATCTCAAAAAAAAAAAAAAAAAAAAAAATTCAAGGAGTCCAAAATTTATAAAGTAATGAACGGAGTATCTAATATGAAACAAATGACTTGAAACTTGTCATTATTGATTATATATATACTTCCTCTATTTTTTTTTAATAGTACTCGCACACCATATAAGTTGGACGCATATATTTTGGTAATGGAAAAAAGAAGAAAGAGAAAGGTAATATTACAAAATTGCTCATGTAATAGAATATAATTAAATTAAAGAATAAGTGTGAAAAGATAAGGATATGTTGGGTATTTATAATGATAACAGATATGTTTTTTACCCTAAAAAAGAAATGATGCAATATTTGTGAATTTTCTTTAAAAAGAAAGTAGTGCAATATTAAAAAAAATAGAGAAAGTATATCACGATAATTTTCTTAAAATCAATCTATATGAAACTGAGGGATAGCCCTTATGAATTACAGAATATGAGAAGTATTATGAAAAATATACCATCATAATTGCTTTAATGTGGTTCATTGTGTTAAACGGAAAGGTGGAATCATTCAGGAGGCCCAACAAAACATCAACTGTATCATCATTTTGCGCAGATTCAAGAAGGTTGCTTTTGTAAAGATGATCGTTAATAATTTTCTCAATAACAGCATTTAAGTCTTTAAAAGTTCTCTCAAGCATTGAGGATTGTCCATTTAGCTTATCAAGAAAACCCCCAAATAATGGAACGTAATCAGTATAGAACATGCTCGTGAACATAACTTCAACATCTCGTAGAAGACTATAATATCTGCTTCCTATCGAAATGTGCTCGTTGTATCTGTCCATAAACCAAATAAACAACGAACAAATTAAAAATAACATCATACAAAATGTAATACTCCCTCCGTTCCTAAATTACATTCCTATTTCTAGCATTTATTCCTCACATGATAGAAGAAATCAAGAATGTAATTTAGGGAGGGAGGGAGTAGGATTTCAGAAATTATAGGAAAACGAAAGGGTTAAGGAAGGTATTACTTTATTTTATTAAACAGTATAATTAGTTTCTTCGGATTTTTCACCAAATACCACTGAGTTCTTTCTTAATTCACCATATACCACACAAAATTTTCTAATACACCAAATACCACTGAGTTTTAGGTAAATGTCACAACATACCATTTCCGTTAACGGTGTTAATCATTAACGTTAATTATGCCACGTGGCAGCTTGTAATTGGTGATTATTAATGTTATTTATTTAATTAACTAACTTTAAAAAAAATTTAAAAAAAAAAATAACACCTCCAACTCAACCACTGTTGCCACCAGCCCAGCCCCGACCTCTACCCCTGGCTGGCCACCTGGTCCATTTCCCGGCTGGCCGGCGACCATTCCCTTCCCCTCCTCTTTCCCGTCGCGACCCACCCACCCATTTAAACCCAAAACCCGACTGAAACCCCACCCATGGAGCTTGCGTAATTGATGAATTTGATGAATGGAGATGTCGTCTTGTTGCTGCTGGTGATGATCTTCAAGTTCGTCGTCTAAATCCATGGCGGAAGAATCCATTAAAGCCGGTAACTCGAGTAATTACCCTCAGCAACAAACCTTCTTTCAAAACACGAATACACTCCATTTGCACAAACCAAGTTCGAAAAAAACGAAAACCCCATTTAGGGATTCCAGATTTTGGGGAAACCAATTCGCAATCAAATCCGAAAAAAACAAAAACCCCATTTGCACAAACCAAGTCCCCTTCAAGATTAACCCTAACCCACGACCTAATTTAGGGATTCCAGAATTTGGGGAAACCAATTCAATCATAGTAGAAAACACACAAATTGCAATCGGAACAAGCATTAAATCATAATAACGATTCTCAATTCCATCAGAATCCTTCAAATGGAGATGAGAAAGTAGAGAAGAGAGTTGATGATGAAGAGGAGAGAGAGATGCGGCGGAGTTAAGGGTAATTGTGGAGAATCGACGGTGGTTGTTGCAATGGTTGGGAGGAAGAGGAGAGAGATTCCCAAGCTCCGAGAAGGATGAAACTGCCGCCGGTGAATGCCATTGAAAATAGCCCCATTGTAGTTTGATGGTTTTCTGGGAATTGGAGCTTGATATTCTGCAATGGACAATCAAGAAATGGAGATGGAAGAAAGTTGAGAGATTGGTATTTGGTGGTGGTAGCAGGTTTTTTTTTTTTTTCTAATTATTTTTTGTTTTTGTTTTTTTTTTGTTAATTTTTGTTATTTTTTTGGTTTTTTTTTATAATTAATTAAATAATTTAGAAAGGAACCAATCACAAGCTGCCACGTGGAATTATTAGCCTTAATGACTAACGGTGTTAACGTCCGTTAGTCATTAATGGTATGTTGTGACATTTACCTAAAACTCAGTGGTATTTGGTGTATTAGAAAATTTTGTGTGGTATATGGTGAATTACGAAAGAACTCAGTGGTATTTGGTGAAAAATCCGTAGTTTCTTTAACCCTGATTTGTATAACATTTCAGTATTATTTAGTTTGTTTGACCCTTATTTGACCAAATTTCAGTATACTACCTCCGGTCCAAATTACTTGCAAGTTTGGGGTATTATTTGTGAGTTTTCTTGATAAGGAAGCTAATTAAGGGTTAAGGAAGCTAATTACATGAATTAAACATAAACTCTAAAATTTTAAAAACTCTAAAATTTTAAAAACTCTAATTTCTTCAATTGACAAATATTAACCATAATTTATCACAAAGATTAAGAGATTGACAAGATATTACATGCGACTACTAAAAAAGAGGCTATTTCTGATGGTCGAAAATATGTGACCCCTCATAAAAAAAGGGGGGTTGTAAATGAATTTCCCCGTTGTAAAAATGTGAACCCGTCGTACAAAAGGGGGGTCGCAAATGAATCAATTTTGATAGAGTTTTGGGTTGAGTATTAGGTGAATTTTAATGACTGCCCAAAATATTGTCATAAATAATCTACTTTTGCGACGAGATTTTGGTCCGTCATTAATGGACAAATTTTTTGTAGTGTTATGCTCTTCGATCCTAAGAGCATTGCCACCAATGGGGAGAAAAAATGCCCATGGGTAGTTTTTGGGGTCTAAATAAAAAAAAATTACTCCCCATCAATGGTCTAAATTAAAAATGCCCATGGGCAAATCAATTTTTGATCAAAGTTTGGGCAAAATTAAAAAACTGACCAAGAATAACTGGGCCCCACGTGCTAGCTGCATTTTAATTTTTTTTTGCTAAGCTTACCTCAAAACGCTGCGTTTTGAGGAAGCGTCTGCTTTGCTTCACCTCAAAACGCTGCGTTTTGAGGGTAGGAAAAGCAAAAAAAAATTATAAGAGCAGCCCTGACAGGCGCGTCAGCACGACCAATCAGTTGCTGACACGCGTCCTGTCAGGCGAGTTGGACCAATCAGGAAATTCCTGATTATTGCAACGGTAACAATTTTGTAACGGGTATTTTGTGCTTATAAAATTAAAAAAAAAATATTTACCAACGGCTAGAAAAAAAATTCTCTACAAATAGAGACCCATTTTGCCTATATTTTCATATTTCCAAAATTCACATAAATTTGTTGTATTTACATTTTCTCTCAATTTCTCCCTCATAATTAGTCATCCTTTTAATATTACTATTATTATTATTATTATTAAAATAAATATTATTATTATTATTATTATTATTATTATTATTATTGTTATTATTATTATTATTATTATTGGAAGTATAATTATTATTGTTATTATTTTAGCTTATTAATATTATTATTGTTGTTCGTTATTATTTTTGTTATTAATATTATTATTATTATTATTATTATTATAAAGTTATTATTATTATTATTATTATTATTATTGTTATTATTGTGTTATTTTTTGAAATTAATAAAAAAAAAATAGATATGGATCCCAATAACCCCTTTTACTCAATACTTTCTCATAATTGTAATGATTTTGATGAGAATTTCATGAATCAACCTCAATTTCAACTTTTCCTACAAAGATTGAGCAACACCTCTCTGCAAAATCCTCCACAACAACAAATCCCTCCACAACTTGAAATACCTCAACAAATTCCAACTGAAAACACTGATTACGAGCAATCACCTCCTGTCTACTAAGGAAGTAACTCTCAGTACGATGATAGCCAAGAAGAAAATGTGCCTGAGACACCTCAATACCCTCCGTCGACTCAAAGAATGCGGGTGGGTTCCAACCAACAACTCGCTAAAGCTAGTCGTATTTGGTCAGTCGCATAAGATGAAGCTCTTATTGGGCTATATTTAAAATACAGTGGAAATGCGATAGTGGGTACGGGCATGAAAGCAGCTGAACTTTGGCGACAAATATCTGCGGCGTACGACATGGTTCAAGCTAAGAAGCCAGAAATACTACCACCCAGAAATGCGAAGAGTTTGGAGAACCGTTGGAGAAGGATGGCGGCAGATGTACTGTTATGGATAAGTTGTTATGATGAAGCGGCTCCGTTAACTGGAAGTGGATTCAACGAAGTTGATCGAATTCAAAAGGCCTCGAAGTTGTTCCATATATCAGCCAAACCACCACACAATTTTGTTTTTTCCCACGCTTGGGAAATGATAAAGAATGACCCAAAGTGGAGGCCGAAACTCAGATGGGCATTGTCACTAAAGGAACGACAGGATTGTCAACTGCTTCCGGAAGGGGACACCGAGGATAGCAGTGGAAGTGGAAAGAGATCGAGAACTGACAGTGAAGCTGAAGGAGATGTTCCCGTTGGTGGGTTTTCATCAGGAGGTATACCCAGACCCGACGGGGTAAAAAAAGCAAAGGCTAAGCGTAAGGGAAAAGTTATTGCTCATGATAGTGCAATTTTAAGTATTGGTGAACAGATACAGGCTTGTACTGAAGTTAGAAGCTTTGAGGCAAATTTACGGCAGCAAAGGTTGGAGCTTGAAAGGGAAAAGGAAAAGAGGAAAAACAAACAGGTCGAATTACAAGAGAAGAAGATGAAATTTGATATGTTGCAAGCAATTATGTCCAAAACAACGCCACTTACACCAACTGAAGAAGCGTGGAAGGAGGAACTAATTCAAGAAGTGTATGGTGGAAAGTAGAGTAGTTTATTATGCATTATGATTTCAAGTATTTTGTTTATTTTATGTTGCAATGAATTAATTTTTATTATTAATTATGCTCCAAAAATTTATCAAATTATATTACATTTTCATATATTTTGTTCAATTATGAGTGAAGTACTAGCTACTGTGTGTAGATTTTGTCTTATACAATTATGAGTCAAGCGGTTGGTTTTATCAACCATTGAACTGTCAAATCCCAAAAAGTAGTCAAGTCCAATTGGTTTTTGAATGTTTTATACAACCATTGAGTAGTCATTTCATACATAACTTCAACCGTATGACAAGCATTGGTATTGATTATTAAGAATTGAGTAGTCATGTATTTTGTTTTTACTATACATTGAGTAGTCAGTTCACACTTAGTTGAAGGACATGCACTGATAACATTTCCTATTTAAAGGTGTGAAATCCATAAATTGATCCACAACACCAAAACATTCAAAAACCAAACACAAAAAATGTTTTCCATAAGCTCAACCTCAAGCTCAAATTCTTCTGATTTAGATCAATATGCGGAATTTGATAATCTAGTTGACGAATTTGTCACAAATCACTTACCTAACATAATGCTTCCTCAACCACCTCCATCCGAGACCGAAATTGTAAATGAAGATGAAACAGTCCCGCAGCATAGGGGAGATAGAGAAAGGGAGAAAGGGCATTTGCAATTGTACAATGATTACTTTGCAATAAACCCTGTGTAT